ATTTGTCAGATCATTCACAAAGCATACATCCACAATTGCAGCTAAAAAAAAAAAAAAAGAAAGCCCCATATCACCTACGAGGACGATCCGTTAAAGTCTTGGATTGACATCATGAATTATTAGCTTAATTAAAGCTTGCCTGTGTTAGGTTTACTTTTTGGAATAATGGTTTTGTTGCCTTGCATATTACAATGTATCCAGAGATTTGTAAGAAGTAGCATTAGAACTACGTTTAATGAAAAGGGGGGAGATGTGGGATCATTTTATGTTAGCAGTGAGCTGGAGGGTATTTTGAGAATGTGATAAGATGTGGGAATGTGCAGAGAGTTATGCAGGGAGGCGAGCTTGTGGGGCAGGAGGTAGATAAGCTTGAGAAACAAGGCGATGGGAGCAGGATGAGACAGGGAGCTTGTATGTTAGACAAAGAACTTGTGTTTAATTTACGTGGAAGCTATGCATGGCATAAACACCTATCAGAATCCTTGCTAAGGAGCGTGATAGTCGCGTGGACAGTGCGTGTAACCAATTAGAGCTTGAGCAAGCGCGTGTATGGAAGTAGAAAGCAGTATATAAGATGTAGCCTTCTGATTAATAAATGACTTCTCTGATCATCATATTGATGTGCTGAGTTGTCCGTACCTCGCATGAACAAAGAACCCCACAGTCCTATTTGTTTGCAAGCATTTCACCTTTTCTGTAACGAACTCTTGTTCTTCTTTCCTGGTAGAAAACAATCAGGCCATGGCTAGTTATATCCTTGCTGTCAGTCTGGGACAAGCCACAAGAACTGTGTATGTTTGATGGGGAGGGAAGGTGGTGGCCATTGCCTTTATTTTGCTGCAGGTGAGCTTTGGCTGGCTCTCCTAGAAGTGAGTGCTGTTGTGTTGCCCTAAGAGTTTATATATACTGCTGAGAAGGTCACGTTCATGAGCTGACTTTGGACTGTGCAGGTGGTTTCCAACAACAGATCACTCTACCATCTGGCTGCTCCCAGGGTCTCCCTCAGAGGCAGAAGTCCAGCCTGTGCTTTGACTTGCTCTGCCAGCCCAACTAGACCTAGTAACCCAGAATGGGGACTCCAGAGTGGCCAGCCATCACATGTCCTCCCAGAAAAGCCTTGTCTTGGCCACCTTCTTCTGAAGGACCAGCTTGGCTCTTGGCTGTTCCTCTGTGGTGTATGGCTGCATGTGACACAAGCTTGTTCCTGCTTAGCTGGAGGCCTAACCTGTTCTGTAAACCAGACCTCCTGTTTCTTTTTGAACCCAGTTGTGGCACCGAAGTATACCGTGGAGCTGGCCTGTGGACTGGGGGCAACCATCCTGCTCGTTGTGGTGCTGATAGTCGTCTATCACGTTTATTGGCTTGAGATGGTCCTTTTCTATCGGGCTCATTTTGGAACAGATGAAACCATTCTAGGTAAGGAGTTAAAGGACTTACATTTATTTTATCCTGCTACAGGCCAGACCCTTCATTTTCATATAGGAATTTTCATATGAGCTATTTTTAACCCTCTTCACAGCATAATGACATTTTAACCTTCCATTTCTATACCTGCATTCAGTTGTGTGGGTAATTTTAGAGCAAGAGGAGTCAGGCTTGGGTCAGGGAAAAGAAGAGAGAAGTCCTCTGTGTTCTCTGCAGAGGTAAAGCATGGATGTGTCAGGCTCCCTGGGGCACTGCCCTGCTGATGGCTAGCTGTTTCATCTGATCTAGATGGTCAAGATAAGTCATCAAGTTTCAGTAAGTCGCTGGCTTCTCTGGTGACTCTGTGTAAGGATTCACAAATCCAGGGTGATTTGCTTTAAAATGTGGGAAGGCATCCAAAAGGATGGATCCAGAAATCAGTGTTCTGTCCTCAGTTCTTCCACAGCTTCCCTGTGTTACTGGGAGTTCAACTCTTGGGACTCTGTGCTGAGATTCCTTCCTCTGTAGGATGAGGAGGGTGTTCACAGCTTTTGGTGTGAACCTGCCAAGGGCGTGCAGCGGCTCTCAGAGGGTGTAGGCAGGGTGCAAGACTTTGTCTGGTGGGACTGCTCATGTGGATAGACAGCAATGAGAGGAAGCAATGTCAGAGATGTTAAAAGACAGAAGGACCTTGGACAGAATGAATTGGTCATCTTGCTGCAGTCTTGTACCTTTGGCGACCCAGTGGTGTCTGAGTACCTGCATGTTCAGGCTGGGTAGTCAAAGAGGCAGCACTCATGTCTTGTAGCTATGGAGACTGATGTTTCTTAACCTGTGGTGCATGGGCTTAAAGCGAGCTTTTGTATCTGCTTTTCCCATGAAGCAAGTCAAAGGCTTAGCATGTAGTGTCACAAGTGTCTTTTCTGCCATTTGTGTCTTTTTGTGCTCCCAATGCTCAGATGGGAAGGAGTACGATGTGTACGTGTCCTACGCCCGCAATGCAGAGGAGGAGGAATTTGTGCTGCTGACACTGCGGGGAGTCTTAGAGAATGAGTTTGGGTACAAGCTGTGTATCTTCGACAGAGACAGCCTCCCCGGGGGAAGTGAGTATTTCACAGGAGGGGGCTGTGCTCCATGCGCGTCCTCTCTTTGTTGTTCTCTGAGGTATGGATGATTGATGGGAACTGGCCTATCCAGATTAACCTTATCCTTTGGGGTTTTTTTCCCCATCTCCACTAATGATCTCTTGTTGGTATCTTCTAATGTTTTTGCTTCACGTGACGATGTCGCAGATGCTCCAGGCCACCAAAAAGGCTGCGGTGGGCAAGTGGTGGTTGTTGGTCACTTCAGTTGCTCTCCCCAGGAGTGATGTGCAGGAGTGATTGATCTATCAACATGAGGGAAGCGGACTACTGACCTTCATGCAAACCCTCTGAGCCGCCTTAAAAAAAAGGCTATAAGGCTAGAAGGGAACGAGGCAGGGGGAGACTGATACTGGACCAGACTGGTAGCTCACAGAGGGTAATGGTGAGTGCCTGCAAAAACCAGGAGTGTCTGCTTCAGGGAGATGTGGAGAGCACTATGCGAACATCAGTAGGGAGATGGTGTGCCCTCCCAGAAGCCCTCCCACACCCTCATTAATTAGAGAGTCTGTGTCTAACATGGCATACAATGAAGTTGCTATGATTAAGAGTACCTTGTTTACAGGTAGTGAGACTCATCTCTTCACTGAGATGTAGATTTTTTTTTTTTTTTTTTTTTCCCCCTCCCCATGGTTTCAAGCTAAATCATGCAAGGTTCTGGACACAGCATCTGCTGGAGGCATGCAGGGAATCACCAAGAACAGATGTTTGTGACAAACTCTCCAGATACACATATAGTCACACAGGTGGCACAGCAAGTGCACAAATCAACACTCTCAATTTCCAGTGTCCTGAGGGCTGAGTTGGCTGTGTGATCCTGGTGCCTACTAAAAGTTCAAAGCATGAACTTTTGCCAGTGCAGACAGCCCCATGGGTTTTGAGTCAGGACCCCACTGATGACAGAACCTGTGCTGATAAAGCCCATTGGGATCCATTTTGGGTAGGACAGGAGGGACTGCTGGAGTCCCAGCCCAGCTGCGTGACAGAGAGAGCAGAATCGGTCTGGGATGTGTTATCTGCTCACTGTGGCAGTCACTACCAGCCTCAATTCAGCCCCAGCCCTCTGGAGCACTGCTGGGGGGGGAGGGGGGGCTCCTCATTGCGCTGCTATTTGCAACGCTGCTGGGGCTTCCCCATTGCTTCTTAGCTAGGATTTGACTAATCTCCTTCTTGGGGAAGCACGGTGGGCCGGGAAATAGCTTTTGTCAGCTGGTGTCATGCCTCCAGAGTGTACATCTGTGTCAGGGGGAGAGAGTTATGTTGTCCTTGATGAAGAAACAGTGGGAGATGGATTATCCTGCGAGTTTGCTGACAGGAACTAATCAAACGTGCTTGACAGCTAAATGAAGTTGCCTATCAGTGTTATTTTATTCTCCATTGTATTTTCTGACCAGTCAAGAGTGTTCCCTTATCAATGAAGGGTGGGAGGTCCTGCAGCAGAGTGTGCAAGCACCGGGATTCACACTTATGAGGAATTTTCACATTGATTACAGAAAGGTGCCTAAGGACAGTCTACCTGCAGATGTTAGAAAATCAAAGAGGATCCACAGTTACCATGACATGTCTCCAGCTCAAAGGGTGTCACTTTCTGGGACACTTTGTTAAAAGTCCTCAGAGCAGTTTACTTGTCACTTGTAGAAGCACTCAGATCTGCTTTCATCAATGACAGCAACAGGAACAGCAGGATGAGTAACAGGCGTTAGGATGGCAGTATTTCCAAAGTAAATTAACCCATGAGGACACTCAGGAAGGGTGTAGATACTTACTGTGTGTGTCTGATGTGGTGAAACTGAGGCAAGAGGAGTGAAGGGATTACCCAGGGTCGTTCTGGACATCTGCCAGAGGAGGATGTAAGCGTAGGCATTCGGGCTTCCCGACACCACTTCAGGCTGAGCCTTTTCCTTGAGGCCATGTGTTGTCAAATTTTCCTGCTTTGCTCCAGAGAGCCTCTTTATTCCACTCTCACAAGAAGGAGGCTAAATCTGAGCCTACCAGAGCAGCTCTCTTGGCCACATGGCATCCTCATAGCATTGGGTGGTGCCACTGCCACGTAGTACAGTACTTTTGAGCCGTAGCTACCTCAGGCATCCCCACGTAGCATGGGAAGGAGGAAACACATCTGTAGGCAGCCCGGGGCTGGGAGTAGAAGATGTCACTGTAAGGGGCAGTGGGTACCAGCCATGGTGCAGGAGGCCCTACCTGGAATCACTTGCAGGGTTGGGAAGCACCAGTATGGTCTCTAGAGAGGACCTTCAAGGGATTTTATTGTCCCCTTCAAGACACCTGGTATCACACTAGCAGCTCAGCAGCATGTGCTCGGCCATCACTAACCACCTCAATGTTTCTTTCTCCCAGTTGTCACAGACGAAACCCTGAGCTTCATCCAGAAAAGCCGACGTCTGCTTGTTGTCCTGAGCCCCAACTACGTCTTGCAGGGGACACAGGCCCTGCTAGAGCTCAAGGCTGGTCTAGAGAATATGGCCTCCAAGGGCAACATCAAAGTCATTCTAGTGCAGTACAAAGCCATCAAGAAGAGCAAAGTGAAGGAGCTGAAGCAGGCCAAGGCGGCCTTGACTGTCATTAAATGGAAAGGCGAGAAATCCAAGTTCCCAAAGGGCAGGTTCTGGAAGCAGCTGCAGGTGGAAATGCCAGTTAAAAAAATTAGCAGGAGTTTGAGCCTTGATGGGCTCATACGTATCCCTGAAAAACATTTGACGCCATCAGAAAACAAAACAAAACAAACCCCAAAAATCCATAAGTTAAGCCAGGGAGTGGGAAGGAACTCAGGGGTTTTGCCATGAAGGACTGTGTCCCAAGCATTTCAGAGGGACAGTCATGCCTCCCTGCAGCTTTTCTACTGCCCTGGCAGTGGAGAGACCAAAGATGTGTTCACCTCCTCTCTACAAATGCACGTCCTTGTCATCAGCCACAAAAGCCCTGGGTCTAGGTCTAAATTCGGGCTATCCAGGTGGGATGCAGTCAGCACCTTGTGATAGCAGGGTATTTGTATAGGCCAGTACTCCTAGATATAGTTCCTATGGGACCTTCATTAGCATCCAGGGCAGAGCTCCTTTCATCTCCTAAACGGCTTCACTTCTTCCTGGTCATTGATCTCTGTGGCAGAGGCTGGGGAACAGTTTGAAAGGTGGCTCCAGTATAGAGGCTTTCGTAGATGTCCCAGCTGTATAGTCCTGATCACTGTGGGATCACAGATTTCAGTGGGGGAAGTGTAGACTTGAGGCTCCTCATCTTTGCTTCCCCACGTTTCTGTAGGAGCAGGTGCATTCAGATAGTTTGGCAATGTGAAATGGCTGTTACAAAATCATGGGGAAAAAAAAAAAAAAAAGCAGCTCTGCTAGGTGGTATTTGTATTGTAGCATTTCTACTAATAAGTGGTCAGGCTCTGAGACTCTGCACTCTCCCAAGTACCCCAGATCCTTCAGGGCTGTAGTGCTTGTAATCCAGGGAAAATCTCATGTTAGTCCAGGCCATGGAGCATGTCTGAGAGATCCTTCTTTGTAGAGTAAACTCAGGGACTTCACAAGCACTGCAGGGAACCCCAATGTACTACTGAACCTGCCTGCTGTCTCTGTGCTGCTGGCTGGAGGAAAGCATGCAAAGTCCTGCTGAGGCCTCTGGGATGACACTGGCTATATGTCCACCTCCTCGGAGACCCTACAAAATTATTTGAACTTACTAAAAACTACTAGTTCTGTCCTACTGGGTGAGACTATGAGGAAAGGCTGAGGGAGTTGGGGTTGTTCAGCCTGGAGAAGAGACAGCTCTGGGGAGACCTTTTTGTGGCCTTTCAATACTTAAAGGGGGCTTACAAGAAAGATGGGGATGGACTTTTTAGTAGGGCCTGTTGTGATAGGACAAGGAATAACAGTTTTAAACTAAAAGAGGATAGATTCAGACTAGATTTAAGGATGAAATTTTTTATGATGAGGGTGGTGAAATATTGGAACAGGTTGCCCAGAGAGGTGGTAGATGCCCCATCCCTGGAAATATTCAGGGTCAGGTTGGATGGGGCTCTGAGCAACCTGGTCTAGTTGAAGATGTCTCTGCTTATTGCAGGGGGGTTGGACTAGATGACCTTTAAAGGTCCCTTCCAACCTAAACCATTCTATAAAGGGTCAATGTTCCCTGCCTTTGCATGAACAACCATCACCACTCATAATTCAGGAGTCAGGTTTAAGTTAGCCTTGACTCTACAAAGCAAGTCTCCACCCATCTTGTTTCCAGCCCAGAGTTGCAGAACAGAGGATGTATCTCAGCTTCTGCAACCGTTGCACAAAATGGAAATATAAAAAACCACTGAGTACCAGTCCTTGCTTCACTGGGAGGCAGCAGGCATAGGAGAGGTGAGTTAACCCTTGGCAGACAGGCTTTTCAGATTGAGGACGGAAGTGTCCCTTCCCTTGTAGGACAGATCAAAGCACAGCAGGACCCTGACGTTGACAAGTACTAGTACAATATTTTCACATAAAATTACAAACTCTGGGGGTGTCTCCATACTCCTGTAGCTCCCAATGCAAGGGCCTGCCCACTTAATTGTGTAGAATTCAGTATTATGCGCACTAAGTGCATGCTTATTTTTTGATGATGGTTGCTCCCGAGTCACCTCTGACTCATGCTTTTGCTCTGTTGGTGTCCAGTGGGTGAAGCGTATCCATTCATAATGGCATTAAAAAAGCACTAAAATTTGGAGTCTATGCACTATTCACCCAGCTGAGCACAGCGATTTGAAGGCGTCCCAGTAAACAGCCCAGCCTTAAAGGTGTGGGGCTGAATCCTGGCACCAGTGAAGCCCCTTGCTCTTAGCATCTTATGATTAATAATGTTATTCTAGGGCAGCAGGGAGCTGCAGCCACCCATGCCACTGGGTAGGTACTGTACAAATGTGGAACAAATAGAGCTGCTTTCTCACCTTCATCTTCCCTATACATGGAAGCTTTGCTTTAAGCAGGTAAAATTGCAGTCAGCATCGCTGAAGGCAGTGGAGCTCTTAATCTGCTCAGAGGTGCTTAAATCTCTGCTGTTACGAGCTTTTTGACTGTGGCTGTCTGCGGAGGGACAGAGCTGCTTCCCACGCTCCGGAAAGCTTCATTTATATGAGACCACACCCAAAACCATGCTCAGCTTTGTGAACTCATTGCAACAGCATCATTTTGCCCAGCTTCACCTTTTTGTTTGTGTTTTCAGCATCTCTGTAATTGGGTGCCAGATCTGCAGGCAGAGGGAAGACCCTGAGGCCAAAGCAGAACTGTGTTAGATTCCAATTTGATTTTTTAAAAATTGACTCAAAAATACGCATAAATTCAATTAACATCTCAGACCTCACCACATCACATCTCACTTTTGGCTGAGGTACCAAGCGAACTTCTGCTGGTGTTTTAGTAAGTCTGATTATCTTGGAAGTTAAATCCACTTAATTTATTTTTTTCTGATTTTATTCAAAGAGTTTTCTAAATAAATAATAGACCAGGACTTTCACTGGCATACATTGCAGTGACCACTGGTGCCGTTGCAACCTCAGAACAGGATTACTGAGAGATGTCAGCAGAGCACCCACAAGGCAGAAGCTGCGATGGTCTGAAAGGGGCCTGAGGGTCCAGAGGGAGCAGCGTGGAAGGAAGAGCACTGGAGCAAATAGCACTGGAGCAGGCTCTGCTCCCCTGGGAGCTTTACCACTGGCTTTGCTGGGACCTGTCAGGCCAGGGGTAAAGCCCAGTCCCAGCTGTAATGCAGATCTGCAAAGCACCTCAGATATGCCTGCCATTTCATCCTATGCCATGTGTGGTTTCCATTGTAGGATTCTGTCACAGCATCTGTCTAGTTCAGTTGATTCATTTGAGTTTCTGTGCTCTAACCTAACATTTATCAATATGCAGCTCATACAAACTTCCTCATTGTTATTTCATGGGGAAACAGTGTGGCACAAATTGGAAAAAATATCTTCCCCCCCTGCCCCGTGGCGTTTGATGTTGTACAGCTGTTCCAGAGTTTTCCCTTTTCTTTTCTGTATGTTTTTGCCTTTGTGTTATTTGGTCTGTGAAGTGTCAGTATTATTTTATTTTATTTTGCTTTTCAATAAAACATTTTCACTTTTGCATTTCAGTCCTTGTGCATTTCTCATAAGTATCATTTTCCTCCCCATTATGTCTGCAAAAGGCCATTAAAGAAAGATGGCTGTGTGTAGTCCGAGCATCAAGATCAGTTCGGGACAGCTCCTTATAGGGGACAATTTTCCTGGCTGTTTCATGGTGTGCCTGCAGAGATCCTGAGGCACCATCACTGCTATCAGGGCCATGCAAGCAGAAGCACAGTGACATACAGCATTCAGCTGTCACCCAGCAGTGGACATGCACACGCAGAAAGTCTCTAACCCAAAGAGCACTCAGCAATCACAGGATAGAAAGTTGGGAAGGAAACACCATCCTTTTGCTTGAGAGACCAAGCCAGAATGTTGAACAGAAATCTTGGAAATCTGCCCTAACCACAGAAATCAGACTCATTCTTAGGCCGCTTTGCCCATCACCTTCTAGGGAGCTGGGTAAAAAAGGTTCATTCAACTTCATATTTTCTCAACCAAGCAACTTTCTTGGCTTTTTCCCTTGTTTGCATGCTAGCAGGTAAGTTGAAAGAGAGCCTAGCACTTCCAGACCACTAGCAAAATGAATACTTGTGACAATCTATGGATTTGGGGTCTGTGGGGTATGGGATCTATGAGCCTTCCCCAGCTTTTATTGGGCTGGGACAAATGTATGGCTCTTATAGTCCTCTGTTACATTTCTGGGGTGCATTAGGGGAGACAAATAAACCAACAAAAATACGCAGTGTCCTTTGGAACCATGTAGTAAAAAAGGAAGTTTTTCTGTATGAAACAGCCAAAAGTATCATGTTCCCAGCTCTGTTGGTGGCCAGACCCCTGCAGTGTTATTGCTGCCTGTCCCATCCTGTGCTGTTGATGCCACTGGGAAGGACCGTCCTGCCTGCACACTGTGAAGTGGCCACTTGGGATTTTTTGTGACCTGGAATTCATTGTAAACCGAATATCCCAAGGTATCCTGGTCAGCCAAGTCTAAATGCACCCCATTCTCAGAAATAAAAGCTATCTTTGGGAATTTGAGCATTTTCTGTGCCAAAAAAAAGGTCGAGTCTCAAAAATTGATAGAAGAAAACTGTCACTGTCAGCTCAGTCAAAACATTTCATTTCAGCAGTGTTGGGATCATTCACATTAATTGAACTTGTGCTTTTTGAGCATGCAGGTAGAATAGGTGACCTCCCAGGGGCTGCTCCTGCCTGTGTTTCACTGTGATTCTGTGATTCCAGTTTCAAAAAGACCTTTCAAACCAGCAAAGGAGCTTTTTCTTTCACAAAATGTTGAAGCTTGGCTGATTTCAAAATAGATCCCAATCAGTTATAGAAAGGTTTGAATGAGATCTGGACTCAGTAAATTGGGAGATTGCTGCCAATTCTTTATGCCTTTAAAATACGGTGGTAAGAACATTTCACAGCATTAAGTGACAATTCTGACAGAACTGACTTTATCATCTACTTTTAGTTTCAATGAATCAGTGTTTTGGGGGGGGGGGGGGGGGGGGAGGGGAGAGGCGGGAATCCCCCCCAACTTTGTATACAAGAAAAAAATACTCCAAATAGTTTGATTTGAATTCCAGTATTATGTTAAAGGACCGAACAGCACCTTACTTTCTCCATTAGCGTATTATTGTCCAGTCGTTTTCCTTATCCCAAGTTCTTAGTCCCCAAATAATCTAATGACAATGAGTTTTATAGCTAGTCATACATCTTTGGGGAAAAAAAAAAAAAAGTATTGCTCTGTACAATATTAAAATAAGATGTATCCAGGTGCAACATGGTGCACCTTCTGCTGTGAGATAAGGAGAGACAGCCAAGTGCTGGAAGAATAAGGGGCATTGCCATTGCAGGGAAGGAGCAGTATTTTTATTTCTATAGAAGGCCAGTGTTCCGCTGGCAGGAAGGAAGGGGAGTCTCCAGACTGAGGAATCAAGGCTTTAGCAGTGTGAAAGGCAATGGAAGCAGCAGGTAGCTCTTCTCCCCAGAACAGCTCTTTGCCAGACATTCCTACAGGGAGGTTTTTCTGAGTGTGCAAGAGCTCTTGCTCCAGTGATCCCTGTCCTGCTTGAACACCACCTTGTCCTCAGGTGTCACCCCCCCATCTCAAGCACCAGCACTCAGTAAGTGGGTGGGTTTTTTTTAAGTTTTTACAGTTCTGTTAATCAGCTTAGGTTAATTTGCTAAATGCCACAGCCCTATTAATTCCCATCCTTTCCACTGCTCACCCATTAGCCATGACACCTTCAATATGCTCACTGCATCCCAAGCCATACATAGAAGTCCAAGGACATCCTTCAGGTTTGCTGCTTTTCAACATTCATAATAAAAGAGATGCGGCCCTTGCCTGGCGCCATTCCAGCTAAGCATCTTGCTGAGCTTTGCAAACTGCAATTAATCCCAAGAAATGCTTTGAAGGACAGTATTTTCACCTCCCATCACGGCTAGGGGAGTTGATGGAGAGGTTTAAGGCTGACATTTTTGCTTTCTAAGTCTGGAGGCTTCCATTTCTAGATGAGAGAGCATGAGAGGGAGGGAGGTGGGTCTTAGCCTTGGCACTGTGGGCTGTGACACGATAATGTCACTTTGTTTCCCCCCATGCAAAGGGCTGCCAGAGCTGTGGGCAGGTGGTTCCCAAACAAGACCTGCCCTTTATCAAGTGTCTGCACTTCCCTGGGCAGTAGTGATGCTGTGCAGGGCAGAAGTCAGAGTACAGTCTTGGTTTATCCTGCCATCCTGGCTTCTTGTTTACCACTTCAGCCTTCTCAAAAACCCACTGCAAAGCAAAAATGCTGCTATCGTTCCTGCAGTCCCTGCCAGCAGGAGTGTGGGCAAGTCAAAGGTCACTGGGCTTGTGCCAGGTTTCCCTCTATACGAAGGGGGGATCTGTGCAGGTATGCCACCGAACAGCTTCCTTCAGCTTTTCTCTCCCCGCTCCCTCCCCCTTGTGCACCCCGATTCCTCTGCCCTTGCATTCTTAGATACCACCGAAGCCGTGTTTGATTTCATCCAGAGGAGCCGCAGGATGATCGTGGTCCTGAGTCCTGATTACTTGACGGAGAAGAGCATCAGCCTCCTGGAGTTCAAGCTGGGCATCATGTGCCAGAACGCCATCGCTACTAAGCTCATCGTGGTGGAGTACAGGCCACTGCAGTGCACCCACCCCAGCATCCTCCAGCTGAAGGAATCCGTCTCTTTTGTCACCTGGAAGGGGGAGAAGTCCAAACGCTCCGGTTCTCAGTTCTGGAAGGCGTTGCGGCTCGCCTTGCCGCTGCGCAGCCTGAGTGCTGGTGCCGGCTGGAACGAGAGCTGCTCCTCCCAGTCGGACATCAGCCTGGACCCTGTCCAGAGGAGAAGAAGCCGGCTGAAAGGGCAGCCTGACCCACGGGGTGCCACGACAGGGACTCTCACTCCCGGAGGGGCTTCCCTGGCCTCCGAGTCAAAGGCCAAACACCGAGCCAAGCACTTCTTGACATGCCGGTGTTGTGGGACCTATTGTAATGGTGGCAGCAGACTCAAGCGCAAGCATCGGGCTGTGGCTGAGCCCAGGTGGGACACTCATCTCTGCAAGCCGGGCTCAGGCAGGCCCACAGCTCAGGGAGTTCAGGGCAGAAGTCGACCTGAGCCCCCACCGGCACAGGCTCCTGCTCTTGCCCTCTGCCATTACAGCGATCTGTCGAACAACAATGACTTCTACGTACTCTAGCCAAGAGGCTAATGGCACCGCAGCTGCTGGGCTAGCAAAAGAAACTCACTGCAGCCTCAACTAAGATATTTTTACAATATCGCGGGCTGATGCGGTGTCATTCACTGTCAGTCCTATGCCAGCACGGAGGACTGCAGCAATATCACCGGTGCTGGTCATCTCAGCCAGGGACCTACAGCCACGCATGGAGCAGCAGCTGGGGACTGCCTGCCCAGGTCCTTCTCCTTAATTTAAATTGCAAAGTGGAGCTGAAAATGCGTTTCTCTGGCGTTATTTTTCCCCAGCTGTGGTTGTGTTTGCTGCAGGGCTGCTGTTGGGGTCAGGTGTGGGAGGGCAGGTCCCCAGCCAGATGTTGGGAGGGAGGGAGAGGGGAGAAACCATGCTGCTGGCAGTAACCTCTGGAGAAGGGGTAGCAAGCCTGCATTTTGCAAGGGATCAAGCTTTGCTAATGAGGTCAATGGGAGCACCCACCAGTGCAAAAGTGCACTGTGCAGTACAGTGCGTTATCCACTGTGTTTTAAAAGAACTTGGTCAAAAGTTTTAAGACAAGATTCTTCTCTCTAAATAAAACTGATTTCTTTAACCTGCTGTTGTTACAAGTCCCATGGGAACCAGTAAATGCTGGAGCCTTGTTCACCAGGCGGTGCCTGAGGAGATGGTTTGCCCAAGCTGGCTGAGGTCCTCTCCTGTTCCCAGTGCTCATCATGGGCTCCTGGGCTTGGTCCCTCTCCCAGCTTCACCATATGATTGATTTGTTCTGTCAGTTGCGTGGCCTTTCGCGCAGCAAGATAGAAAAGCATTACAAATCTAGGGAAATATGATTAAAAAAACACTCTGAGTAGTCAGTGAGCTCAGGGATAGGAGCAAGACCTCAAACACTCACAGAAAACCTCAGGCGCTGAAGCTGAGGGGTCAAAACTCAACCACACTTCATTAGATAACTGAAAGAGCCTTTGAACAGTCTCCCTGGGGCTGCTGTTTCATCAGCCCGTTGAGTTGGCTGTCAGCAGTGTTTCCCACTCTTCATCTGCAATGAAAACTTCATTTGCCTCATTCCACTTTGTATAACAACTTCTCTCCCCGCCAAGGAAGGGCGCTAATCCTGGGAGTCAGCCGCCCGCCTTCAGTTCATGCTCAGACACGC